TATTAAAAAGCTTTCTTCTGAAGCAATTGGTGCTTTTCCAGTGTACAGTAGTTATTCTGGTATGCAATTGCTTATACTGGAAAATGGTTTCTCTACAGGAATGGCATGTGATGAACAATGTTTATTCCTGTAAATTGGGACCAGCTTTGGGATGAGGAAGAAATGAGACATGACAAGGAACCACCAGCAGGAACAGGCTGTGGGCCCATGCACCAATATAACTCTGGGGGATCCATCCCTATGAGACACTTCTGAATATGAGCATACCTCTATATGAGGTATAGAATCAGCTCAGGGTCGCCCTTTCCTCCACTTGGTCCTAAGCAGTGGACTTCGTGAAGAGCTGTTCTCAGGGATTTTAAATATTATCCCCATTACTATATTGTAATTCAAGTCCAAATCCAGTTTGCCAACTTCCAGGCCTCTCTTAGATGTCCGAGGAACTTAAATTAGGATTTCAGTTTCATCTTAAATTTCTTCAAACACAGATGCCATTGACAACCCTCAGCTGTGCAGACTACCACTGTTCCCTGGAGGAATTTCTCCATTTTTTAACTCAAGGTGGAGGGCTAAGCAGACCCAGATATGAAATTAATACCTGGCTCTGCAAATCTGGAGATTCAAGGCAGGATGTTGGTATCACTGCGCTCAACCCTCCTGCTAGAATGGTTTAGATAGCTTATAAACTTCCTACCCACTCATTTCCTACCCCGCCTTGCTAGGCAAGCTATAATTTTTATTTTTAATGAAATCTCCTGAAGATGTCACCATGTTGTTCTGTCAAATAGATCATGGGAAGGAGACGGTCAGAAGTATCTTCCAAAGGGAGATTTCACAAGGATGAATCCTGTCATGCTTTGACCCAGTGACCTTTCTTGGCATAACGGCTTTTGCACCAGGTGACCCAGCCATCAGTGCAATGGGTGACTTATTACAGATTTGTGTGATTCACACTTTTCTCCTTACTGGATTGCACCATCCATCCTGGGATGGGTGAATCAATTTGGCTTGGACAAGATGTGGAACCCATCAGTCCAGGTTTATCCATTCAGCCGCTTAAGAAAAAGTCTGGTTACTTTGTTAAACTTGGTTTTTAATAGGAAAAATTACATTGCTGGAGGCTAATTCAGCACTCTGCAGAATCCAAGGAGTTTATGAGCCTCAGTTTATTTTGTGCCACTGGAGCCAGTAGGAAAACAGCTGAAGGGGAGCAGCAAAAGATTGTTTCTTCCTTTAAAATTTCACCTGTGTCTTTCCCCTGGCATGGAGTGATGAGGGAGGGAGCCAAGCAGCAAGGCTGAAATGCAAACAGCAAACTTAGAACCTGGGTGTTAGTTTTGGATCTTGTTTAGAAATAACAGCCTGAGCACAGTGAGCTTCTTGTGGCACATTGCACAGTTCTGCAGGAGAGAAAGGAAAGGAATAAGAAAGTGACAAACATTACAGACAAGTGCTCTCTTGGACCAGGGTCAGAGGGCATGGGTTCAAGTCTTGGTTTATTCCTAGGTATTGCCATATTTGTTGGTCCCAGAAGATATTGGAAGATTTACAGAAGAAGCACAACAGAACAATGCTGTCTCTGATTTCCCTGCTGAGCTGAGCTTCCTTTTCTCTTTGAGTTTCTTCTGGGCAACCAGCAGTTTCCATGAGTTAAAGCGTTACATTGCCCTCCGCCCAATGCCTTAAGTTTTTGACACTGTGCAGATTGATAGGGGTAATTCAGTCTAGGCACTTTGGTATCTGATGTTTGAATCACACTGTGATTGACAACAGAATTCCCTTCCTTGGGCTTCAATAGCTTTGGCACTACCACCAGGAGGTCAGGCATGAGTTTTTGTGACAGAGTTTTGGAAATTTCTGTACTTCAAGCCTTTGTGCTGTGAAAGAGCATCTTTCAATGTCCAAGCAAGGCAATCCTAAAGGCATGGACATCTTGCTGTGTCCACGCAACACTAGGAGAGCCCAGCAGCTCTGAGGGCTTACCTTGTCAGTCTTACTGCTACACCCTTCCTTGTTTACTTCTGCTGACACGTGGACTTCTTCTAATCACCATAATGGGTACCAGTACCCTGTGCACCAGTTACTGCAGAAGATGGGCTTGTCTGGAAACCTGCTGACGCACATCTAATTGTTTTGTGCTTAGATCATGTGTCCCTGGAGTCCAGCTGAATGGTGTGGCAGGGCAATTCCTGCCTTGGCACAGAAAAGCTCCAGCACGGGGGCCTTTCAGCCCTTACCTACGCTTTGATTAGTTATTGCTTCTGAATAGATCTCCCGCTTCTTCTAGTGTTGCATCACTGTCCCTTCCCCACGCTCCTTTCTAGATAATAACACGGCTGTCTGTTGGGAAAGCAATTGCGTAAGTCCCTATTGCTCATTCTAAGTCATTGGATCTTGGGCTGCAGTGATTCACCCTCACAATACCCCGAGAAGGGAATCCAATGTCACTCTCTCCAATTTACTGATGGAGAATCTGAGGTGTGGAAAGGTGAAGGATTTGCTCAGGGTCAGGCAATGAGTCAGTCGCAGAGCTGGTGTTGGAGCTCCCACCCCACCCTGGCTCCTCGGGCTTGCATCTGTCTAGACTTTTCCAAGCACCAGCTTTGATGCTGGTGTTACCACCATCTTCTACCATCAACCTGGGAGCCTAGACATCTCCCCTCCCTTTGCCATTCTGGAGGAAATGTCTGTATCCTCAACTCGTAGCCAGAGGGGCTCAAATGCTGCAGATAGGAGAAATGTACCTGCCTGCCTACCTGGAGAACATAACACCTCCCCATGCCTCTTGCTCCTCACTGGTCTCTCTCTTGTTTTATGGCCCTACCTCCACCACCAAGGGAGGAACAGGATCCAGGACCCAGTCTAAATAAATCTCAATAAACCTACATCACAGAACACAGCATCTGTACACTGGTGGTTCAACAAATGGCAAAACAGCCCACAGACCTTAGCTTAGGAACTGACAAAAGGGATAAAACCAACATACAGCTTCATTTCTGGCTGTGATGGCCTTGATACAAAGTCAGGGTGAAACAGACAGAGTGGAGTACAAAGGAGAGGGGAGCACAGGAGGAAGCAAGGCAGAGGAGCGGCTGAGGAGCCTCCACGGCTCTGGTGATGCACGGCAAGAGGGTGAGAGGAGGCATACAGAAATAAGGTTAAAAATTGGTGTCCTGAGTGCTGGTTCGCAAACCCCAGCTGCAGCGAGCATGCATGGGGCTGATGGAGTGCTTGCTGTAGTTCAGAGGACCCCATTGATACTGGCGATACCGGACTGGGCCTGAGAGCAAAGTGATGAGGAAAGTTTCCTGTCCCTGTAATTATGTATGGACCTGAGTATTTCCCTGCATTTGATTCCTCACACATTATTGCTTTCTTAGCCACATTCCTGACTCTGCTCCTCGGGCTGGCTACAGTTCCTGTACAAAATAAAGGCTCATTCACCACTGCACTAATAAGCTTTGCTTCTTCAAGAGGAAAGTTGATGGTTAAATAAGGGGAAGAGGAAAAGCTGGGCATCTGTGACTTTGCAGAGGAGGCAGGGAAAAAAACCCCAGGAAAGGGGTCCCCTTCAGTCCTGCAAATTCAGCCTTGCTGCCTTGTGTCAAGCCCTGGTGAGTCAAGGATCCCAGGGAATTTTTACTACGCACTTAACAGAAACCAGATGCCACGAGTGGCATGCGTCCTGTTAGCAGCCATCACCACAGATGGTATGGACTGGGACAGCTTTCGTTCAGGCTGTCCCATAGAATTGGCCTAGGGTGATATAGGACGTTACTGAGGATGAAAAGGCAGCAAGGCTGAATTCCTGCAAGGATCAGTGAGTCTTTGGGCTCCTTGTCAAGGTCCTATGAAGAGTATTGGCTCTGCACTGGGGAACTCTCATGGCTTTTCTTCACAGATTTCATGGGAACTGGGCTGGAAATGCTCTCCCGAAGTCCTGGTAGGGGGAGACAAACTGTAACAACACACAAAAGTTTGGACCCAGATGCAGATTTTCACGGAGAGAGGTCTGGTTTTGCTTCGTGATACCAGCTTTAACTGCATAATTGCTGGGGTCAGGAGGTGCCTTGGCCTCAGCCCACAGTACAGGTGTGGGGGATCAAACCCTCCTGCCCCACTATTTTGCTGCAAAAGCACCTCTGAATCAGCACAGGAGCACTCATCGCTTTGCCACCCTACAGGAGCTTGGGAGGGAAAGAAAGCTGAAAACAGGGTACCATGCTGTCGTGGTTTCAGCCCAGCCGGTAACAAAGGACCACGCAGCCACTCACTCACTCCTCCCTGCCCCCCTCTGGTGGGATGGGGAGGAGAATCAGAGGAGAGAAAAAACAACCCCAAAACCAACAGGAACCTTGAGTGTTGAGATAAGGACAATTTACCAGGACAACACAAAAAGAGAAGTTACAATAACAACAACAGTACTAATAAAAGACTATACAAAAGGAGTGCTGCACAGTGCAACTGCTCACCACCCAGAACCCAACACTCCACCACTTCCCCCACCAAAAGCCTAGAGACCCCCCAGCCCGCTCCCCATTTATATACTGGGCATGATGTCACATGGTATGGAATAGCTCCTTGGGTAGTTTAGGTCAGCTGTCCCGGCTGTGCCCCCTCCCAGGTTCCTGTGAAAATTAACTCTATCCCAGCTGAACCCAGGACACGGTGCTCACACAAATGGGATAAGACACTGCTCAGCCCATGCATTTAGCATTTAGCTCTCCAACTGAAGCTGTGGAGGGGTAGATATGGCCCCATGTTTTAGGTGGTAAGTGATGAAAACAGCAGGGTTTTGAGCAGGACATCCTTGCCATGTTTAATTTCTCCTTCTTCTGAAACTCCTGAATCTTTTGCTCACCTTTGCATGCAATAAAGAAAATGAAGAAAACCACTCACTCTGTGGTTGAAAAGGAAGGGAAAAAAAAAAAAAGTTGGGTTTGAAGAGCGGGTGGAAGGGGTGTGGTTACCCAGGAGGTGTGGCAGGCATCGCCAAACTTATTTATAAGCAAGGGCAGCTCTGCTGGGGAAGAAACCTTGCTCAGGTTTTGTCAGCTGCTGCTTTTTCCCTGATACTCCTTGAAGGGCACCTCTACTGTGATGGGGAGGCAAAAGGATGTTCTTGCTACTATTGAGAAGCACCTGAGGATCAGAAACAAATTAGTGCGGCAAGCACTGGCCGAGTGTCTGGGGACGCTGATCCTGGTGGTGAGTCTGTGCTGTGGTGTGGGGATGCTCTCTAACCCCTGGCTGGGGGGTGGGAATCGCCCCAGTGAAGGGGCTGCGCTGCTGCCAGAGTTTGCACTGGGGATGAGCCCAGCTCTGGTGCAACCTGCCACAAGAAGACTAGAGGAGAAGCCTCTACCCACACAAAAAAAATTCATGCAAGTTGGTTCAGGATGAACTTTGGGGTTGCTGCTAAAGGGTGGGCTCTACAGAGCTTGTTGGGTGTTTGGGGTCTTTTGTGTATCTGAGAAGTGCAGGGAGCAAAGTGTCTCTGTGTAAGCAGCAAGCGTTTTGCTAGAGATCGTGAAAAACTTCCTTTCTGTCTGCCCTGGAATATGTTCTTGGCAGTGAAATACTTCAAGAGTTATCACCCGGGGAAGTGAAAGATTTTTCCTCACCTCGCTTTGTTTTCTTTGTGCATCCAATGGACAAGAAGTAGCCAGAATTTAAACTGTTGCAGTGTTTTTTTGAAGTCAGCTGCAGGTTCCCCAGAGTTTTATCAGTGGGGCTGCATGACACTGTGGCAGCCTGTGCTGGCAGCCGATCAGGAGCTCGCACTCACCATGTGTGTGACAGCACTGAGCTGTCAGTTGACGTGTTTTTAAGTAAGTGGTGAATGGCAACAAAATTATTCTGCCTGTTTTAATGCTCAGTTTCCAAAGGGATGGGATATAAGGGCTAAAGCAGGGTAGATACCTGTGTAAGTGACTTAGTTTTCAGGTGTGCTGAGTGGCCCTGGCTTGCTTTGAAGTCAAAGGCAGATGTAAACAGCTAGGACAGTTGTGCATGAGGAGGGGGGAGCAAATGCCAGTGTAGCAAAACTGGGACAGGGATATCTGGATATCTGGCTTTGGGCATCTGCATCCGAAAATGCAGGACTGTCCAATGGGCCACAGGTTTGGTGTGTTGACAGTGCTGCAGGAATGAGTTGGTGTTCACACAGTGAATACCTGCAGGTGAAAGTTCCTCTGAAGTGGTATAAATCCAGAGCAATCCTATAGGATTCAGTGGCGTGACTGGGGGTTTACACCTCTTTGTAACTGATGGCAGGACTGCTTGGGGGGAAATCTAATGATTGGAGGAGCTGAAAGCAGAGAAGGGCTTGATGAAGCTGCATGTGTGCCTGGGAAACAACACAAAAGGACCGACACACAGTTTTATGCTTTCATAAAGAAGATTATTTTTTGTTGAGGAAGAGAGAGGGCTATGGAGTCTTGGGTGGGTGGATATGGAACTCTGCTAAGACCCTGTAAAATGCTATCACTCCTAAAAGAAAGCAGCTTCATACAGTGCAATGGCTTTATCATCAGAGTGACCCAGCTTTGGTGATTTGCCAACAAGTCTTGTTGATTTTTCAGGGAAGTATTACTTGGAATTAAGGTGGACAGAAGCTGATAGGAAAGTGATTAATGGATAGAAAGTTGCTGCTCATGAATCACTGACGTTGCTGGAGTTAGTCTCAGGATTGAAGCAAGGTAAGGTTTGTAAGGTGGAATAATGTCTCCTGCTAGCCAAGTTAATATTGCTGAGAAAAAAGGCAAGCCTTTAGCCATGTGGATATGAGCTTTCAGAAGGGCTCATGATCCAAAACAAGTTATTTCTTCTTCTCACTGTATTAGTTGGCACAACAGAGACTGCCTTTCCCTACAGCCTTGCCTCTCCGTGGCAGAGAGGACATGCAATGTGCTCAGAGCCTGAGGAAGGGTTTGGTCCAAAATCATAACCAGCCTCCAAAATGAGGGTGGTAATGGGCACCCATCAGCCAGGCTGGATGGTGCACTGACAAAAGTGGGTAGCACATGCCTTGTCCTCAGGAGCACCACACCTGCTGTGTTTTAAAGTGTCTGTGTAAGTGTGCCCGCAGATCCCTCACCTTGTTCAGGGATTCCTGAGCTGGTGTCTGAGGGCAAAGAATATGCTGGGTTTAATGACACACTCAACTCTGTCTCATAGGTCTTCGTAAAAGTCACCTAGGATCTCCAGCAGCAGCTCCGCAGTGGATAGAGGGTTGCGGGTACTCTGTGTCCATGTGGGAGAAGATGGGGTCGGCTGGTGGGAGAAATAGGAAAGTCCCAAACACAGTAAATGCTCCCAGGTTGTCAGCAGTCTAAAACAGGGTACACAGAGAGGGAAATGAGTTCCAGAGCAGCAAGCCTGAAATATCAGTCTGCTGGGCATCAATCTCTTTCTGCCTTGGAGCTGTCCCAGTCTATTCTTGATGAAGTGACACTCACAGGTTTTATTTATTTTACTAAATTTTTTTTTTCTCCCTACCACCTGGATTCCTTTGCATCTTTTTATTATATCACCTGCCTGAAATATAAAGGGCCTTGAAGACCACTTTCTTCCCCTTTCAGGTGGCCTGGGTATTAACTTGAATTGGATAGTCCCAGCAGAAAGATTGTCATTCTGTACCTTGCAAAAGTCCCTGCTGCCCACCCTGCTAGCAGGCTGAGCTGGGTGTGCTTGTATTTAGCTGCATTTGAGCCCAGTAAACATCTGTTATGGGCTTCAGACAATAAAATACCTGAGGAAAGACCTGGGATCCATGAAATTGTCTTTGTGGGGGATGGAGTTGACTGACACAAATATGTGTAGAACAGAACAGTATTAGGGATGGATTTAAGGTTTGACATTATTCACACTGTAATCATCTTCCTGAGCCCCAAGGGAGGGAGACTGTTTAAAGTTTGCAGCTTAATTTAAATTTCACTGTGTAATGTAAAACTTGTCCCACTGTGGATATTGGCATGGTTTCAGCTTCTTCCCTCCTCCCTTTCACTTGCATAATGACTGCAGTGCTCTCCAACTCTTCTAAAGCAAAGTTATTTCAGACCCCTGCAAAGTCTCTTTAACTGTGAGAATTAACTTAGTGCTTGATTTTAATTTTCTTATTTTTTAAGGAGATTGTAAAGATAGCAAACATTAAAACAAAATAGTGCCTCTTTTTTTGAGATAAGAAAAGTAATCCAACTAAAGCAGCCAAGCCCTGAATAGTGCAAAGGTGAGGTGCTCTCTGCTTGCAAGCTGCGTTTGCTGTGTACAGCACCTTGCACAATGTGGGTTTAGTCTGTGAGTAGTGTCCTTACTGTTAAAAAAATAGTAGTGCTGATTCTACCTTTCCTTTGATAATTAAGATTACCGCCCCCCCCCCATTCAAAATGCACTTTCCAAGTGGCACTTTAGGTTTGAACTTTATACCCATGTTGGAAGCACCGCTTGATGGCAATAGTTAAGCAATGCAAACGCTGAAGGCATTTTCCAAGTTGCTTGCTGTTTGTGTTATTACTGTAGCAACTCACTAAAGCCAGACTTCCAGCGGCAGGCCTCCGTGCCTCCCTTAAAGGCTTGATCTGTTTGCCTTGCTCTGCTGGCTGTAAATACCAAAGCTGGCTTTGTTTGGTTTTTACATTTGCAGGAGAAGTAACTTGATGTTTATAATTGATTTCCAAGTTGGACTAACTGTGATTCACTGCTGTTAAGGCACAAAGAAAGAACAGAATGATTCCTAATTGCTTTTCAATTATGGCTGCCTTGACTTTGTGGCCAGGTGGGAGCTTTTTGGGGTATGAGCGTGCTGCAGACCACAAAAACCAAAATAGCAAAGTGGTTGGGATGATCAAGGCAAAGGAAGCCTCATTTAACTGTTGGCAGTGCAGAGCTTAAAGTCGCTGATGATCCTGTAGCCATCCAGGGCAGTATGGCAGTTCCCACAGTCACTGTTTGATTTGTGCTGATTTTCTTGAACCCAGCTTGTTGTATTTGGAGAATGCGTTTGGTTTTTTTATTGTTTTTTTTTTAAATTTCTAAAATTTCTTTTCTTTGTTAATGCTTTGCTAGACTTTAAAAGGGACTGGAAATCTTTGCTGTAAGCATGTTGAGTGCTGCTGATTCTTCCCTGCAAAGGGTCTGTGCTGCTGGGTGTGGAGGCGTGGGAAATGGCAGTGCGCTGCTCTCCCTCACCTCTTCCACTAGAAGAGGTTCAAGCTCTTCATTAACTGTTCAAAACTGTCCCTCCTTGCTGTCCTCATAGAGGAGCAGGGAGGTTTCTCTGTCCTACAAACAGGACAGTTCAGGCACCAAGACACCCTCGGCGGGGAGGCAGCTTTTCCCCAGGAGTGCCCAACCCTGTGACCAAAACCCCACCAGAAGTATGGATCTTTCTAAGAGCTAAAGCCTCCTGATCTGAGGGATACCAGGGATATCAGAATAAGTATTTTTGCTTCCATGAGTGTGGGAGCAAGTTAAATAGAGAATTTCCTCTCTAATGCCCAATTGCGCTGCTGACAGTTGCTCAGGTTTCTTGTGCTGAGTGCCAATCGTCTCTCCAGCTTTGTGCAGCGTTGCTGTACTGTGTGATGTATGTGTGGCACAACTTTCCTTAGACCTTCTTATGTCTCGAGTCCTGCAGTCCTTCCTGGCTCTGGGACAGCGTTTGGTGGGGAAAGAGCCGTAAATTGATAGACCATCTGCCACTGCCCTTCCCCGTAGGACTGCTTCTGTCCAGGCTGGCTCCAGCTGTGCTGGACAAGAAGCCACACTGTGGGGTCTAATGTTTCTCCTTGCTTTGCAAATTGTAAATGATGACCAGTCTGGTTGTTCGAGAGATGCTTTGAGGAAAGGCAAAAATGACGGTGCTCCTTGCACTGTTTTCGTGGCTGGTGGTCATGCTGGCTGCAGGGGTCATGGATTTGAGGAAGATCTCTGCATGCTGCTTGAGCAGAAACAGCAATGGGGAATGGATCTGTCTTCAGATCTACCCAGCTGGGTCCTGCTCCTTGGGGAGGGCAGCAAGAGGCTGTGGGGGAGACTTATAATGCCTTTAACCCCTTCTTGATTTGAGCTGCAGAGAAGGAGTTGGGAGGTTGTTTTGAACTGGCTGAAAGTGGTAAAGTGATAGTCCTCTGTTCCCTCCCTCCCCCCCCAGCCTCCTCCCTTGAAGGGGCTGTAGGATAGTCTGAAGTTTCACTGAGATATGAAAAGAGGTGTCCCTTTGTGTGTCTAATGCTTAAAATCTTCCATCAGAATCTTGGGATCTCTACCAGAGTAGACACATGGTTTGACAGCTATTCTGGCATCCTCCCCGCTAACCAGAGGGCACCAAGGGCTGAGCAGCCCTTCCCATCAACTGAAGTGATTAGGGTAGATTTACGGTAGGCTCCTTGCCTAATCTCTGGTTTATTTGCTGGCTGAAGAGGAAAGTTGTAATTCAGGTAATAACACTCCTCACGGGCTATGCCAGCAAAACTTTCCCATCTTGATTTAGTGATCAGTCTGTCTTAAGTCTAACAGCAAATGCATCCAGGCCTTTTGTGTTGTACCTGAAGGCACAAAAAAGCACCCGCAAAGAAAAGAGAAAGCAAGAAAGGGAAGAAACCTGGCTGTTGTGCAGGGGAGTGCTGAATACTACCTTCCTCCTGAGCTCATACACGGAGCTGCTTTTCACAAGGTCTGCCTATAAACTCAACTTTTTATTGTCCTCCAAGGTCCTTTCCTACTAGCCTTGACTGGCTCTGGGGCTTTCTTGTGTCTAGCCATTGAGACAGGCTATTTTTACCTTGGGTGACAAAGCCAAATGGCTGTTCTCCAAACATGCCCCGGACATAGGGAATTTAATGTTTCCCTGAGTATGAAGTTTCACCTAGTGACTTGCTACCTTTTCCTGGTTTTGCTCCTGCTGCTCCTGGCTGTCCCCTCCCTTGTACAGGTTCTGGAGTTTGTCAGCCCCTCCACTGTTGAACCAGTTCAGCTCATGGATCCTGCCGAACATGGATTTTGTTGTCTTTCTTAGTGCAGGGAGCTGGATCAGCTCATGAGGAGTGACAAGCCTCTCTGTTGGCAAGGAAAACCATTAGATCTACTACAGCCAGTAAGATGAAATTAGGGAGCAGGCTTCCATTAACCTGGTTAATGGGTGCATTGACCTCAAATCATAGGAGAGTAGCTTTAATACATCAGAGTAATGGTTTGTTGCAATCATTTTATTAGCACTTTAAAACTGCTTTTGAACTTGGCTAGTGGATTATGGGGGTATAACAGTTGACTGCTGCACCCACTGCCATGTGAGGTGCTAACCTGAGTTTCTGTTGGCTGGGATGTTCTTCCAGGTGTTTTTTGTTGTTGTTGGTTTTTTTTGTTTTTTTGTTTGGTTTTTTTTTTTTAAACAAAAAGAGTGTTGGAGGCAGGTTATTAAAATCAAGAGAATGAGGGGTCATCTCCCCCTGGGGTGTGCACCACTGTCTCCTCACCATGGTGGTATAATATTGCCTAAGGACTCTTACAACCGTTGCATGGACTTCAAAGCCACTGGGATAAATGCTGAATTGCTTTTACTTGACCTTCCTTGCCTTTCAACTCAAGCTAGCTGCTCCTAAACACTTCTCTGCAAGCACTGGGAAAGGAAGACTTAAAAAATGGATCCTGAGGGTCTTCTGTCTCATACGGCCCAGGAAAAGGAATTGGAAGGAAAAGTAGCAAATGGCAGAAGTTGAAATGGTGTAATTAAAAACTGTAATAGCCACTCCCATAACAAAACTGTAATGTCAAGCCACTTGCCCTAAAAGCATGGGTGAGCATGATTTGAACTGGTTCCTAGAAGTCAAGTACCAGGTATGGATGCCATGCATGTGAATAAGTTCATGTTTAGTGGACTCCACTGGTGCAGGATGGAATTGCATATCAAAGTTCAAACCTGTCCCTAAATATCACCTTACTCTCTTTATCTGCTAAAGTTTTCTACAGTTATGCTGAATTAAGCCACCTAGTGCTCAGGGCTCATCTGATAAATAATTGTAATGCTCCTGTGGAGTGGCTCCAGGATGTTTTTACATGGGCCATAGACTCTCTGCTGAGGAAAAGCTGGAGAGCTATTGCCAGGCGTAGGATGGGGGAGAGGAGGATGGGGAATAACCTCTCGAGAAATGGCAGAGCTGGCATTCCTCCAGGTTAAGGGAAGAGCTTTGTGGGTGAACAGGGAGGTGGAGTGGGGAAAACTTTACTTTGTGGTTTCTGCAACCAAAAGGTATGTGGCTAATGAGCCAACCACCATCCACTTGCAGAACTGCCAGTTCTTTCAGAGTGAATAACACAAATACCTTAATCACCAGGAAGAACTTTGGGTCAACCTTACCAAATTCAGATGCCCACTGCAGCTTTTTGTGGGCTCATCCCCTCCCTGGTCAGACTGATGTGCTGCGTGGCCTTAGAGAGGCAAACACCATGGCCAAGTAGTCTCTCCAAACCGCTGTTTAAAGCATGCTGGGGAGCGTCTGGGGTAAGGGAAGGAACAGATGTCACCCTGGTCATTAGCCAGTATTTATTTGCTCAGTTGGAGCTATGCTTCCCTCAGTGGTTTGGGCATAGCTGGGAATGATGGCTCTGCTGCACAATAAACAAGACTCATCTTTTCTGCCTTTGCCTGGGTGTCTTCTCTGCCATGGTTTCCCAGCTGGGCAGCTTAGGGTTAGGACACTGAAGGGGCTGTTCTGACTGCACTCAGCAGAGAGCAGTGCTGGCCATCCCTCTCATTAACTAACAAGTTCTGCAGGTTCCTTTGTTTTTTCTGCACAAGGTCCTGTGTTGGGGACCTGGCTTCTTGTCAAGAGGCACCTGTGTACAGTGTCCACCTCCATGAGTCAGCCTGCAGCCTACCTGGCTGCTCCTTTCCCAGCAGGCTGAGTGCAGTGTTTGCTTTGTTAGTAATTCATCAGTTGTCAAGGGGATGGGAGGGTATGAGTTAAGTGTGTTTTGGCTTTGCTGCTCGTCCGGATTGTGTGTTGCTCAATGGGCATGTCCAGTATTGGCAGGAGAGGTGAAGACAGCTACCCTTGCTGCCTATTTGGAGGCTTATCCCCTAGGAACAGGTACGGCCTCTGCAGCAATTGAGTAATTCTGGGCTGATGGAGTTCACAGAAGCAGAAATTCTTGGGTGTGTAGATATGGGTATGTGGTCAGAAGAAATAAGGCAAGCCTTGATCACTAGATTCAAGGATCTTGGGAGCAAGCTGTAATTCCTGTCCTAGTTTAAGGATGTTCTCAGTACCTGCTGATGTGATAATCCCTGGTATACACCAAGACTCAATTCAGGTGGAGTCAGTGGAAGACACAAGCTTACAGATAACAAGGATTAGGGGTCCTTAAATTACATGGTGGGTAGTGGAAAGACTTGGCAAGGCAGAAAACCTCCAGCTGGATGAGTGATAAACTGAACTGCCAGGGGAAACTGATTTCGGTTGTTAAGGGCGAGCATAGGAAGGATGACTTTTGGATGTGTTTGGGAAGAGAAGGATCACCCATTTGGAGCAAATGTCTTTGAGCAAGAGTATATGCCTCCCTTAGATACTAGGAAACACCCTTTACCACATGACAGAAACAGCTTTTCTCCCCCAAAGTGCTTGGTGCATCCCTCACCTTGGACAGAAGGCCAAGCCTCTGGCTGTGCTGGTGGCAGGCTCTCTGTGGCATATGGACTTTTCTTGGTGGTGCCTGTGCCATGCTGGTGTTGCAGAGACAGGCTAGCTGTGTTGCTCTGATAATTCCTTACATAGGAAGGATAAGGGTGGTTTGGGATGGTGTGGGCCATGCTCAGATTGCCCACAGCAGAGACTGTACCTAGGCACCCGAAGAAGTGCAGGTACCTCAGCTCAAGGAGAGATCCCCAGTCCCTCACTGTCAGCCAGTGCCACCTGAAACATGACTTCGTGAATATCAGGCTGAATTTGGCCTTCTTCAGTCATGTCTGTATTTCCAGGCATTAGCAAAATCGATCCCCGCCAAACTATGTGCTACTGTGTCAAACAATTATTAGCCTTTTTTAACAATAAGGTACACAGTTCCCTCATCTGAACAGTTGCACTGTAAACACCTTGGTCCAGGATGCTATCTGGCTGATTCTTCTCACCTACCACCTTAAAACTAGATGGTTGGACAAAGACTTCCAGCCTCCTGTGGTCCAATCTTGCTTTTGATTTTGGCCCTGGTTTCAGTTCCCCTTGTCAGGAGATAGGCTTGTCCTGTGTCCTTTCTCCTTCCCTGCTGTGCCTAGAGATAGTGCCTAGATCCTTTGACCAAAGGTTGAAGCTTCAAAGGCTTTGAGTCATGGGTGGGCTGCGGTAGTGCATGCAGGTGTGAGAGGAGCAGATGCAGGCATTGGTCAGCAACTGGCCCTGATGTGAAACAGAGGGTAATTTCAATTCCTTCTTCTCCTCCTAGCTGTTTGGCTGTGGCTCCGTTGCGCAGATTGTGCTCAGCAGAGGTACTCATGGAGGTTTCCTGACTGTCAACCTGGCCTTCGGCTTCGCTGTAATGCTCGGCATTTTGATCTCAGGACAGATATCAGGTATGTTGTGCCTCTGCGTGGGCTGGATTTCACTTGTGACAATTACTGTGTAGGCCTAGATGGCTGTCCTTTTTCTGTGTGGCACTGGTCTGGAAACCAGTGTCTCTTGGCTCATCTCTGGGACCCAAATTCTGCCTGTAAAAGTACACTAACCACCAACCTCTCTGCAGGTGGACACCTGAACCCAGCTGTCACTTTTGCCATGTGCTTCTTGGCCCGGGAGCCCTGGATCAAGCTACCAGTTTATGCCCTAGCACAAACCCTGGGGGCTTTCCTTGGAGCTGGCATAGTCTTTGGGCTGTACTATGGTAAGTGCAGAAACCTTGTGTGTTTGTTGGGGTGAGACTACTGCTCTTTGTGACTCACTGCAGGGAGGCTGGTTTCCAGATCAGAGAGAAGCATTTTTTTGCAGAGCAGAGATCTGAGAAACCTCCTTACAGTTTTTCTGGGAGGGCTTTCCTGTTCTCATGGTGATGAGTTGAAGCCTCCTCAAATCAATCTGAGGGCCAACCAGCACTGTCAATTGGCAAGCCTTTGTCCTTGAGTAATGATCACGGGACCACTGGATGGCCCCTCTATCTACTGTCAGGACTAAAACAGATCTTTCAGAAAAGCCAGTGAAACACTACTAGTGATGGAGATTTCATACCTGTGCACTGTTCCAGAGCCATTTTAACCTTCTTGGTTTAAAAAAAAAAAATAGACTTCACCATGGATGTCCTCTGCATTTTCTTGTGTTAGCTTCCAGACGGTGGGACTTCAGCTTTTGCTGTCCTTATCAGTGATTCTATACCTCAGAAAGCATCCTAGAAATCCAGTTCCTCATGCATCTATTCCTCCTGAGTGGTGTTCCTCATCACAGGGCAATATTTAGTGGGCAAGAATTGACTGTTTGTGTTGGAAATTGCTCTTCTTCAAATATCAAGGGTGACATTTTAACTCAAACTTTGCCTCCTGATGTCTGTTTCTGGCAATAGGAGCAGTGTTTCCTGTAGCTGAGTAGAACATTTGGGTCACTAGCTTTTACCTGAAGGGAGGAAACTGCCACCCCAGCACCAGTGACAACTGCTTTTCTCTTTAGAAAGAAGCAGGGGGAACTACTTTTATCTCTGTAAACATCAGGACTCCAGTTCAACACCAGTTACCTTTGTAGTTGGTGGCCTGAAATCTCTTCTTCAGAAGAGAGTTAATCCCATCTTAGCTGCCTAAACCATGGAAGAGCTACTTTCAGAAAGTATCTGTTTTTCTTTCCACTGACCATGGAGGGAATCTAGATAGCACACTTAGGTTAGTTATCCAGCTTCTACATAGTTGTAGGCAAGGGGCTGACTGCTCTACAAGACAGTCCTGAGATGTGAAACTAATTGTGTATTGACTTAGAGGAAAGTGCAAGATCAGCCCAAATCTTGTTTGCTGCAGGTCAGATTCATAGCAACATCTCACGTCTTGACACCAAGACAGATACCATAGGCAACTGAGTACCTTTGGGAGAGATTTGGAGTCACCTTAGTGTTTACTTTTTGGCTCTAACTCTTTCCTGGTGCCTGGCAAACAAGAAATACTAGGAACAGGGACTTAGGCCATCTGCATCTGAGCCTGACTGGTAAAATGCTGTGGTAGATCACGCCCTAAGTTTTCCAAATGAGTGTTTTCTCTACAGCAAATGGTTTTGCAACACATAGCAATGGAGTGCTCAGGGAATTCTACCTCAGTATTCATGGCTCTGTGGAGCATACGTTTTAGTCATCTTCCAAGAAGAGTCCTCTCTCTGATGTGTGTCGGAAAATGACTGACCTCTCTACCTTTCTTCCCATCCCCCTCCAGATGCCATCTGGGCTTTTGGCAGTAACCATCTCTATGTAACAGGACAGAATGGCACTGCTGGTATCTTTGCCACCTACCCATCTCAGCATCTGAACATTGTGAATGGATTCTTTGACCAGGTAAGAGTGTGCTGGAAGGATGAAGGTGCATTTCAAGAAGAATCTTGTGGGGTGGTTTTAGGCCTCTCCTTTAGTTAAAGAATGAATTGCAATTTAAAAAGAAGATATCCAGGAAGGTTTTTAGAGCTGACACAGGTATCTCACTAGCCCATAGGAAGACCAGACCCTTACAGCCAGAAGGCTTGTGTTAAGGGGGTTAACCAGTGGTACAACACTAGCCAGGACACCAGTGAAAAGGACACCACCTGCTCTCAGCCCCTGAAGAGGCATAGCATGAGGAAGGATGGCTCTTCCTCACTCCCACTGTACTGCTGTGGCTGTTGCACAACCTAGAGGTCAATTGGGTGTGGGGTGGTGATTCTTGTTGGAGGTGACTCTCTCCTCCTTGAAGTTGCCATCAACCACAAAGGGACAGCTGCTACCTAGTTGTGGCACGTTGGAAGCAGGTTCAGGAAGATGGCTTCAGCTTTTCTGGATGCTCAGTTATTCATAGGTCTTCTGTGGGTAGGGAAAAAGGTGTGGGCTTGATTGAGCCTGTGGGCTGCCAGGAGGAACATGTTCCACTCTCCCAATTCCCATGGGTGCCCAGGCTACTGTGGTCTGATAAAGTGATGGGATGACAGTGCAGTTCTTCCAGTTTCGAAAATAAGCCCTAAATGCATGGGACTTCAGAGGAGCTAAATAACTTGGTTAAAAGATTAATCTGGATTAAATTCTTCTTTTTCTTCCTCCTCCCTCCCAGTTCATTGGCACTGCCTCCCTGATTGTTTGTGTCTTGGCTATTGTGGATCCCTACAACAACCCTGTCCCCACAGGGCTGGAGGCTTTCACAGTGGGCTTTGTTGTCCTTGTTATTGGAACCTCCATGGGCTTCAACTCCGGCTATGCTGTCAACCCTGCCAGGGACTTTGGGCCTCGTCTCTTCACAGCCATTGCTGGCTGGGGCACTGAAGTGTTCTGGTAAGTGCTTGCCAATGAAAACCTTGTGCATCAAGGGGAAAAAATTAAAAGTCCCAATAGGTGGTATCTCTGGCACTATGAAGAGTCTTAGTGCCCATGAGGTATCTTCAGATTGTATAAATGTGTTTAAAAGACACTGTTTCCTCTGCTCCGACTTCTTAAAAAAATCATAGAAGCTGGGCAGTTTCCGGTGGTGAGAGCGAATGACGTAACTTTGCTATCAAGGAGGAAATTTAGGACCATCCATGAGAAGTTCAGGTGCAGCTTGAACATAAGCCTATCATCATTTTTTTGGTGGTAGAAAATGGAGGGTGTTTGTTATACTTGGATTTTGTTGTTGCTGGAGACAATGAAAATAACCACGAGCAATAAAGTCTACATGACGTCAGGGGCTGCTTTCCTGCAGGCAATGGGAGGGAAGTGAAGGTTCCTCTTTCAGGCACTGCAACTACTTCTCTCCTTCCTTGGTGGAGAGACAGTCTTGGAAATCCTGAAAGTAGCTATTCTGAATTGCTGGCCACCTGAACTTGCAGTGGGGGGCAATATCTGCCTTGGAAATTGCTGTGGACATGCAGGTACTATTGTCTTTTGCAAATCAGTGGTGGTGTTTGCAGGTGACCAGATCTTGCATTGTTCCAGATCCAAACACGAATATCCTAATGCTTAGGCTGCAGTTCTTACCTTGTGCACTTTCTTTTTGTTTTCCAGGACTGGTAAGCAGTGGTGGTGGGTTCCAATCGTTGCTCCTTTCCTTGGGGCTGTTGCGGGAGTGATAGTCTATCAGCTCATGATTGGATGCCATGATGAGCCTTCTCCACCTGCCTCTGAGCAGGAAACTGTCAAGCTGGCTAACGTGAAGCACAAGGAAAGGGTCTGAGGAAGCTGCCACCCAGATCTGGCAGACACTCATTGCTCAGGACTGCAGTTGGCAATGAGGAGGAAGGAGTTAAGAAGAGCTTCAAGAACAACAGGAAGAGTTTTTTTTCCTGTCTTGAGATATTCTAGCCTTTTATTTTTTGTTTCTTGTGTGTGTATATCCCTGATGCATTTGCTTTAGGCATTTTCCTGTGAGCCTTTCCCCAAATGCAGTATCATGTAATCTTTCCCTAGTAGAAGGGTGTTGAGGACTGTAGGAGTCAGGAGAGAAGGGGGCATTGCTGTCCAACACCTCCAACATGGGCTGGGTGTTCAGGAATCTGGAGCTCTTTTGGGCTGTGTTGCTGGCCTTGCCTGTGAGGTTGGCAAACTGCTTCCCTCCGAACCTGTGTCCCAATCCGTAGAGTGGGGATCATGCAAAACTTAAATTGTTTTGCTAGCATGGATTGGGAGCTCCTACATCCCAGAAAAAATTTGCCTGTGATTTTACTGTGGATCAAATTCATGCTTGGTGTTGCTCTTAAGTCAGTAACTTGGCACCGGGAATGAACTTGTCTAAAGGATTTTTATTGGCCAAACTTTTTATATCTCCCATGAGTTCCTAGAACATCATATCAATCAGGTGATCCATAATGTCAGAGCAGAGAGTGAGAATGCACTGGATTTTAATTTAATATTAAGACAAAGTGTTTACAAACCACTACGTCCTGGTGTTCTAATCACAACTTTTAATATTGCCAACTCCTAGAAGATAACACATAGAAAATCCTTGTTTTAGGCAGGGGCTAACCTGGAAAGAAACTTGGCTCCCTGTAGCAACCCTTCTAATTAATCAGCTTTGTATATAAACTGCAAGCAGCTAATCGCCAAGTTCCACTGCAAACACCATTGAGTGTTGCTAAAGTTGTGTGTGTTCATGTAAATTTCACAGTAGTGTGTTTTTTTAAAAAAATAGATTTATATATAAATATACTCCTTAAAGCTGTTACTAAATACCAGGGTTGGGATGAGTTCATTTAAAGATGTGTGGGAACTGCCTGTTCTCTAACAGCTTTGAGATACTGTTGGATTTTCCCAGGGTGGCCTTACATTATGGCATTGTGTTGTTGGAACATCTTTTCTACCTTGCAGAATTACTGGGGTATCCCTGGTACTCACAGCTGGGGGCTGAGATCAGGCACCTCCTGTAGTAGCAGTGCTCGCATCTTAGGGGATCTCTGGCTCTCCCAATGCTTTATTATTACAGCGTGTTTGAAACAAGTAGTATCGGTTGTGAAAGGATTTGTAAGTCCCATGCATTAGAGAAACTCTTTCAAAGCCTGTTTCTTTAAGGTGTGAATTCCTTGAAACATGTAACTTTGTATACATTTCCAGTCACTAGAATGATATATTCTTTTTTTTCCTTTTTAAAAAATAAAATGTTGATACTCACACTGTAAAATGCTACTGTTGGTTGTATTTTTAAGCAGCTGTCAGTAAACTTTACCATGGAAAGGAAGTCATCTATAGCAATAGCTTCCTCAAGCCCTTTTCCTCTTCAGCCTGTAGGAGCAAAAGGGAATTAACCCTTTCAGGGAATACATCTACATGCTTCATTTGTGTTTTATTCCTTTCCCTTTTGGAATGGGCTTTTGGGACAGGTGGGAGGAGATTGGGAGCCTGTACGCAGTACAAAGGCCAAGGTATGTACTGGGAGGTGGTGTGGTCCTGCTGTCAGGCATCTTATTCTTAAGGCAAAAGAACAAAGAGGTCAGCATTTGTCCCTTGCCCTTTGTACCATTTAAATTCTCTTACTATTCTTTCAGTTAACATAGTTCTTCTGAGTATGCAATCCTACTCTGCATTCACTGTACTGTCCAGCATCACCTAGCATATTTCGCTTGTCACTTTTTATTAGCTATGCCCATGCAAGGAAAAGTATTACAGATCTGAACCCAATGCTCACAGAATTACACAAACAGCTTTCTTCCAGCTTGTGTCTTCTGTAAATACAATTACTGTTGCTCTTTGGCTGATTTGTGTACTGCTGTATTTTTCCTGTATTAATTTTAGTGCCTTAAAATAACTCATAACTTCCCATACGGTGCCATACTGAACAATTCAGTGAAGTCTGGATGAATGTGGTTTCCTGCAATTCACCAACTAGAAATCAAATAGCTTTTGGCAAGAAAGTTGCCACGTTTGTTTGGTATGCTCCATCTGTGGTCAGCATGCTGCTTTATTCTATTTCTATCTTGAAAGTTTATCCCTCAAAATCTGTGTAGAAGTCTGGCATATTAGCGTGATACGGCTGCAGACGTCAATTCCCATTTCCCTTCAGGACTGTTAGTCATTTTTCTACTCTTCTACCACATTGTAACTTCAACTGACTTGATCAATATATTAAAATTCTTACTAGAGACCTTATGACTTTTGATTCAAGGTGTGGGGTTTTGTGGTGTTTGTTTTTTTGTTTTTTTTGTTGGTTTTTTTTTGGGGGGGGGGTGTTTGTTTTTTTTTTAAATTACCTAACACTTTCCTCCTGCTTCCACCTGACATGTAGTAATTGCCTTTTTCTATAGCCTTGCCTTACTTTACCTCAGTGGTGTATGTTATTATGCTTACTAAAATTGCAATAAAATACCATACCAGTTTCAAGTTAGATTTGTCTTAACCATATGCCCACTGTGTAAAGCTTTGGCTTTTCTGGGATCTGTTGGAGAAGCACCAAGCACTGCTGAGTAGATCCATTACCATGTGGAAAGGTGCAGTTGGAGGGGGAGCTGTGGAGAACTCAGCTTCACCTTCTAGAAAGCTCTGGCCGTAAGAGACATGATTAGGGCAGCTCTTTGCTAACCATGTAAGGAAGGCAATCTACAGGACAGTTTCATATGCCAGATTTCAAGACCTTTGGAAGTGTTATTAAAGTGTGGGGATGCAAAGATGGAGTTAACTGAAGATGGCATTTTCCCTGGCAGCAGGCTCCCTTAAATTGCTGCAAGTTGTGGTTCTGTTTGTTTTCAATCTAACTGCCCTGAGAGAGCTTCTGGGCATTATTCACCTGGCAGGCCCATGCAAACTAAGAGATTTTTTTTTTTCTTTTTTCTCCATACCTAAATTTAAAAGGCAATGAATCATCTTGTAGTTAATGCCTTGCTTTTGGAATCACTGGAAAGGTAAGACTCATCTGGCCAAATATAGTAATCCGGGTTTTAGGTCAGATGAACTCCAGCTGACAAACTATTGAAATATATTTACTTTGTAGGAAGAAATAAATCTACAATTTAAACTATTCATGCTTGACAGAGAGAGTAATTTGTCACTGGAACAAAATGTTAAAAGGTGTTGTGGATTCCCTATTGTGTGACATTTTCAAATTAAGACTGGCTGTCTTGCAAACAGGTCTTTCAGTTAAACCACAAACTGTACTCCTAAGAGCAAGTCCTGCTGCAGGAAATTCCCAGACCTCTCTATTACAGAAGGTCAAGTTGACAGGAATTGTCCTTTCTGACTCTAAAACCTATGAAATTTATAAGGCAGCTGAAAGTGGCCAAGTATTCAGTTCTTCTTGGTTCTCAGGTGGTCTAAGCTCTTCGCCGCAGGTGCTGTAATGTGGTGGCATATCAGCTGTGCCCTGGGGAAACCTACTTTTGTTTCCCTGTTCTCCTGCTGCCTTGAGATCCATGTCTTGGGAGGCTCTTCCAGGGCTGTTAGCACTTTGTCCATCCATGAAATGGCAGCAGCGGTTCTGATCTGTTTCAGACCCTGCTCTGTTTTGCTTCATGGGACTGTGGTGGATTGACCCTGGCTGGATGCCAGGTGCCCACCAAAGCTGCTCTATTACTCCCCCCCTCAGCTGGACAGGGGAGAGAAAATATAACAAAAGGCTCATGAGTCGAGATAAGGACAGGGAGACATCACTAACTAATTACCATCATGGGCAAAACAGACTTGACTTGGGGAAAATTAACTTATTACCAATTAACCAGAGTAGGGTAATGAGAAATAAAACCAAATCTTAAAAACCTTGCCCCCACCCCTCCCTTCTTCCCAGGCACAGCTTCACTCCTGAATTCTTTCCCTCCTCCCCTCCAGCAGCGCAGGGGGACGGGGAATGGGGTTTGGGGTCAGTTTGTCACAAGTTGTGTCTGCCGCTCCTTCCTCCTCAGGGGGAGGACTCCTCACTTGTCCCCTGCTCCAGTGTGGGGTCCCTCCCACAGGAGACAGTCCTCCAAGAACTTCTCCAACATGAGTCTTCCCACAGGCTGCAGTTCTTCATTAACTGCTCCAGCGTGGGTCCCTTTCCTGGGCTGCAGTCCTTCAGGCACAGACTGCTCCAGCAAACTGGGTCCTGCCAGCAAACCTGCTCCAGTATGGGCTCCTCTCTCCACAGGTCCATCCAGGAGCCTGCTCCAGCGTGGGCTTCCCACAGGATCACAGCCTCCTTCGGGCATCCTTCTGCTCTGGCATGGGGTCCTCCCCGGGCTGCAGGTGGATATCTGCTCCACTGTGGACCTTCCTGGGCTGCAGGGGGACAGCCTGCCTCACCGTGGTCTTCATCATGGGCTGCAGGGGAATCTCTGCCCCGGTGCCTGGGCACCTCCCTCCCCCTCCTTCTGCACTGACCTTGGGGTCTGCAGGGTGGTTTCTCTCACAAGTTCTCACTCCTCTCTCCAGCTGCAGTTTCTGTTCTGCAGCAACAATTCCCCTTCTTAAATACGTTCTCCCAGCGGCACTACCACCATTGCTGATGGGCTCAGCCTTGGCCAGCAGCAGGTCCATCTTGGAGCTGGCTGGTATTGGTTCTGTCGGACATAGGGGAAACTTCCAGCAGCTTCTCACCTGCCTCTGTAGCCCCCCTGCTACCAAAACCTTGCCACGCAAACCCAATACAGGGACCAAGGTGGCATCATGAATCAAAGGGCCGATGGTGCTGGGCACTGTGGTGTGGATGGGAGAATAATACAGCCTCCCTTTCTGCAGCTCTTCTATCCCAAAGTGAGTTTCAGCTCTCCATCTGACAGTGGTGGGTGCTGGGGATGAAGGAGCTGGTTGGCATTTGGCTGACCACCTCCAGGCAGGTCTGGTGGGGCTGCACTGGAGCAGGTTTCCACATGTG